GTTTTACAGAAAGCTCTCCGACCTTCTCCGAAAAGCTAGGCGCTCGGATGTAGTAATAGTGGCCGGTGACTTTAATGCTCAAGTAGGTAAACTTAGCGATAGGGAAAGACACCTAGGTGGATCTTATGGTGTCGTGGCTCAAAGAACAGATAATGGCGATCGTCTGATGCAGCTATGCTCAGATAACCGCCTGTTCCTTGCAAATACTAACTTTAAGCATAAGGAAAAACATCTTTCGACATGGCGACCCCACTAATTCGTCCCAACGTTGAACCCAAATATATCACATCGCTATCAGTCACCGATGGAGGGGCTCGATAGAAGACTTTCGCTCATTCTGGAGCACATTCCTAGATTCAGATCATGCTCTAGTGCGAGCGCGTATTTGCTTGCGCCCTACTGGACGTAGGAAAGACGCTGCAAGGAAAACTCTTAGGGGCCTACTTAATGATAGTCCAGCTAAGAGTATATTTCAGGAACAACTAGGAAAACAGTTAGACATCCATGTATGTGATGCCCACCCCGATGCAGTATGGTGTGGGCAACCGGGAAGTGATAACCGCCTTCATACCTCTAACAGCACTCGAGACCACTGTATTCATAATCAACCTTCCTCTTCAATTCCTATTATTCCTCCTACATCGACCTTCCACTTTAAACTTCCTCTTTCGGCTTCCTCCTCAAGTGTCACCATAGCCAACGATTCTAGTGCTCAAAACCCTGTCCCAAGTCTACTGAAACCTCGCTCTAAACTACACATTGGAGCCTTCAACGTACGCACCCTATGTCAAACTGGTCAGCAGGCTTCCTTGGCTAAAACCCTAGAGTCTCTTTCCATTGATGTATGCTGTGTCTCCGAAACACGCATACAGGATTCCAGTGTGGTCATTCACTTGACCTCATCTCGGCAAAACGGAGAGCCAACGAGATACACCTTCCGTGTATCTGGTGACCCGATGGCCAGTTCTCGTGGACTGGCAGGTGTAGGCATAGCACTAAGCATGAGGGCGGAACAAGCACTGCTAGAGTGGATCCCCGTCAACAGTCGTCTATGTGCTGTTCGGTTAAATGGCTCCGTAAGAACTCGGAAGGATAGGGATACACGTCGTTGCCTTTTCGTCGTTTCTGCCTACGCTCCCACTGACTGCAGCTCAGATGATGTGAAAGACGAATTTTACAGAAAGCTTTCTGAACTTCTTCAGAAAGCTAAACGCTCAGACATAGTACTCGTAGAGGGTGACTTTAATGCTCAGAAAGGTAGCTTAAACCAAACAGAAAGGCATTTAGGTGGATATTTTAGCACTCCGGCACAGCGAACAGATAATGGTGACCGTCTGCTGCAACTGTGCTCAGACAATCGCTTATTTTTAGCAAACACAAATTTTAAGCATAAGGAGAGACATCGTCTAACATGGCGACCCCCTACACCAAACCAACGATGGACTCAAATAGACTATATTGCCATCAGTCACCGTTGGAGAGGGTCGGTACAAGGTTGTCGCTCATTCTGGAATACCTGCTTGGACTCCGACCACGCCCTAATACGGGCACGCATCTGCTTGCGCCTCACTGGACGCAAAAAAGCCACAGTAAAAAGACCCATTCGAACCGAACTGAGTAGCGAGGAAACCAAAAGTAGGTTCCAGGAACAACTGAGGTCACGATTAGGTAGTTCTGAAGACGAGGTTGACCCAGTTGTTGCTTGGAAAGCCATACAAACAGCTGTGGAAACAACAGTGACATCTATTAGCGACTTAAACCACAGGGTTACAAAGAACCATTGGATTTCTTCAAAGTCTATCACACTGATGGATTCTCGCAAACTCGTCCCATCAGGTTCCGAACATGATGAAGAGCGACAACAAATCAGATCTAGGTTAAGAAAAAGTCTAAGAAACGACCGTGAGCAGTGGTGGGCAATGAAAGCAAAAGAGATGGAAAAGGCGGCGACTATAGGGAACACAAGACAGCTTTACAGACTAATAAAAGAAACTGGAATTAATAAGTCAAGTGCAAGTCAGACTATTTCGGAAAAAGATGACACCCTCATCTGCTGTCAGTCCAGACGTTTAGAACGATGGGCGGAACATTTCAGAGAACAGTTCAACTGGCCTTCAGCTACTCTACAACTACCCTCCATTCCCAGACAATGTGAATGGAACATTGAAGTAGGTCTCCCAACTCCTGCTGAAGTTCAAAAGGCTATAGTTAATCTGAAACGAGGAAGGGCAGCTGGTCCAGATGGACTGGCTCCAGAGGTCTTTAAGGATAGTGGTCCAATTTTAGCGATTAGGTTGACTAATATTTTAGCTAGGATCTGGAAGTTAGACGTTATCCCATCTAACTGGTCACAATCACTTATCGTCCCAATATATAAGAAAGGGTCAAAATCATCTTGTGACAACCACAGAGGGATTAGTTTAACTAACATAGTATCTAAAATACTAGCCTCGATAATTATCAGACGCTTAACTAAGACTCGTGAACTGCAAACACGAGAGACTCAAGCTGGCTTCAGACCCGGTCGTGGCTGCATCGACCACATATTCACCATTCGTCAGGTTCTAGAACACAGGCATACTTATCGGCATCCGACAATGGTGGTCTTTCTCGACTTAGAAGCAGCATTTGACTCTGTAGATCGCGAGATTCTGTGGCAGTGTCTGTCATTGAAAGGCGTACCACAGAAGTACATAAACCTTGTGAAGGATCTTTACTCGAACACTACTAGTCGAGTGAGAGCTTATAGCGAACTGTCATCTACTTTTGCAACCTCAAGTGGTGTCCGTCAAGGCTGTCCACTTTCCTCATTTTTGTTTAACTTCATCATAGATCTACTGATAGAAATAACTTTCTCGTCGACTGAGTTCTCGGGTATTGATCTCCATCCAGGAGGTCCACTTATCGACTTAGAATACGCAGATGACATAGTCCTGAATGGAGCATTGAAGTGGGTTCTCCCGTTCTAGCTCTACCACATCGGAAATGAGGAAGATCAGCTAGCCCAGATGGATGAACTCCAGAGGTCTTTAAATATGGTGGTCCAGTTTTATCGATTAGGTTGACCAATATTATCAGGCTGGCTTCAGACCTGGTCGTGGATGCATCGAACACATATTCACCATTCGTCAGGTTCTAGAACACAGACATGCTTGTCGGCGTCCGACAATGGTGGTCTTTCTTGTCTTAAAAGCAGCATTTGATTATATAGACCGAGAGGTTCTGTGGCAGTGTCTGTCATTGAAAGGCTTACCTCAGAAGTACATAAACCTTGTGAAGGCTCTTTGCTCGAACGTTACCAGTTGAGTCAGAGCTTATGGGGAACCTACTGCTGGAAAAAACGTTCTCGTCGACTGAAATTTCAGGAATCAATCTCTTACCAGGAGGTCCACTTATCGACTTTGAACACAGATGGCATAGTTCTGTTTGGTGAAGACGCTGATAAAATGCAGTCTTTTGGCGGCACTGAGCAACAATGCCAGGATGCTTGGGGATCACCGGGTAAGCATTAGTGAGGTTAGACACAAGTTATTAGGGAATGATGGTTAATCAGTTGATGAGGTTGTAAATCTTCATCGACTGAGATTGTTGGGCCATGTGTTACATATGTCTGAACTCCGATTAGCACGACGCGCAATGCTGACTAGTGTTGAAGACGTATGGAAGAAAGTTAGGGGCGTCCAAACTGAAACGTGGCATCAGTCCATAAAGTCACTAATTTCTGGTCTAGGCCATGCAGGTATATGCAGACTACTTGGTTGGGGTCCGCGCGACTATCGCAACAAGTGGTTGGAGACTCTGTGTGACATGGCTCAGTATCGATTACAATGGTGTAGGTTTATACAGTATATCTTCCTTTTAGCTATGAGATTAAAATTATTTCATTTCTTTCTTTCTAAGAATTGATTTTTTCTTTCCGTATTATATTCCTACATAAAATCTTTCTTTTATATATAACACCACTGAGTTAACTGCTTCTATGAATCCGGTGTTCGTGTTTCTGTGCTAATGAGGTGTGGCAATTTGGACCGATGTATGTATGCGCCTGGTCTTATGTTGTAGCTGACTGACTGAAGCTAGATAATAGAAGCAATAGGAATGATGTGCACAAAAAATAATCTGAAGATTTGAGTCCACCTAAATAAATAAAACACTAGACTGTGTTACGACTCACTGAAAACCTAGGAAATGATTCGTAAGAAGTCAAAACTGGGGGCTTTACAACTAAATATTGCCAGTATGAAACAGTGCAAGTGGCTCAGTTTAAACACAAACTTACAAGCCCAACTAAAAAAGAGCTGGACCAAAATATTGGTTATCCTGTGGTTAAAACATTCAGTGTGTAGCATTTTTACTAAGAACAAAAAGGGTCGGCGAGACTCTAATTTAGGGACGAGCCAATCAGAAGCGTTTGAGCAATTTCAATTATTAGTCAATCAGAAGACAGTATAAAGTAAAAATATATTACAAGAAAGTAATGAATTACAGTGAATGTTCTTCTTTTACATGATTAAAAAACTTGTTAAGGTTTGATAAAGGCTCAGAAGTTCTGAATTCATAATGCATACGGTCTTCTCACCAGTAGACGAAGTTCACGACTGAATGAACTAAATAGGTTGTCGCAGAGGTATTATTATGCGCAGCAACCTAAAGTTATCACAATTTTCCATAGCTTTCAAAATCTGTTAGATTAAGTAGCTTCGTTAATCCTAAATTTAGGATTACCAAGATTATAAGCTTGATAACAACACGAACTAGATCTCAGTTTTTGCGTTAGCCAACATGATTGCTACTAACTTATTTAGTAATATCGTGTGCTGTTGGTGACTTTCCTAAAAGCAAGAGTCTACTACCAAACACACTCCAGTAAATAATTGTCTCACCGATATGTAACCCGCATAGATGTACGCAATAAACGCAAACCATAAGTGTGACTGAATACATGGGAGTGATTATAAGGTTCGCAAGGAACTAATTTAACTAGTAAAAAGTCTACGTACCCAAAGTTCAACACCCCAACTGAGTTCATCCATTTCTGTGACGAACAATTTGAAAACACGCGCTCAAGACAAAATCATAGCTTCGAAATAGTGGAACATGGTTCTTCGTGGTTGGAATATACAAATTATGATATCGATTCCTCAGGAGCTTTAAGCAGCAAAGCATTACTCATTAGCAAGACATGAGCGAGACAGTACATAAGAAATAATGAATGGGTATTCTCTTCGGAAATAATAATTTCATTGGATAAAACTAGCTTAAACCACACTGTTGAGCATACACGTCAGCTCTTCCAGTAATAAAAGGCTCATCTTTTAAGCTACACTTGCTACTTCCTAAATTCTGAGTTGTTAACAGAAACCTAATTTGTAAACAATCTTTAACAATGTTCCCGTTTCTCATAGTTTCAAATAACTTGCACATTTACTGTTACCGGCTCCAAAAATGTCGTTTAAAATTGACCATGAACTCCGTAACTACTTTGTCCTCTGCTCTCATGAATTACTGATTATTCCTCATAAACACACTTCTGCACATACAATTCTCGTTCCCACGTGCTAGCTGCCGTGATATCAGACCTCTAATATAATTACTATTTAGGTTAACATTCCACACTGATTTCCCCATATGTGATTATCTCGGATACTTACGTATAGGCAAGTATATCCCAAAACTATATAGTTCAGAAAGTCATCGACAATGTTGCTGGCCACATTAATTTACTGGAAATGTCTTAACTGAAGGCAATCGGTCAAGCATCCACACCATTTCATGAGTGGGTACGCTATGCTACGCATCCCTTGTGACTACTAACTAGCTTAGACCAAACGCTTATTGCAATGTCGACAAATTTGAAAATGTATCTTAGAACTTTATCATTTGTGACTTCTGATTTGACTGAGTCGGTATCCTCTGATTACAAAGGTGTTACCGAACAAGCGTTTTCAAACTATTGACATTTCGGCGGTGTATTAGATAATTTACTGTGAGTCTATTCCTTGTTGTAACAGTATATATCACTCATATTTACATATTTTGATAAATCTGTACTCTCAGATTTTTTCACCCACTAATATGTTTTGCCCAACAAAAGCCAATGTGATCCGAAATCAACTCATATTGACAGCATATTAACACGAACATTGGCTTTCTGACTTGAACCAAAGTAAGTACCAGCATTATTATCTCTACAATGTTGATTTTTTATTCATGAGTACAGGATTCTTGTACTGCTCATAAATTAAGTGTCTAACCGACGGTTATTCATTTGCATCGTAATGTGACTTGCTAAAATACCTCTGCACTAAGTCATCATTCATTATTATGATCCCTCTTTACTTGACGTTTGATTAATGTTCACGTAGATTTTCATTTTAAGCGTGTTTGGCATAAAACCAAACATTCTGGAATTTTAACACGTATTTCTCGATCAGTTGCTGCCATCTTTTTGATTTATCTCTGAATTTGTTAATACCTGGAGGATTCTTATTATTCCTTTGATAACCTCTGACACGCAACAATCCTACTCGATTTAGCATCGAACCAACATCACCGTGATTCGGATGGATGGGTAATGTAGTGGTGTTGGTTCCAACCACACTATGCTCAAAGCTGAACATGAGATAAACGAGAAAATTTCCATTCTACATTTAACACGGAGAGAAGGTCAACGATGATGAACACGAGAAGAATTGACTAGGGTGGCATGACTCCGTCTTGCAGGTGTGGTCACCCCACGTGACCTCTTCCTTTTTATGTTGAATACATTACTCTCCTCCCGGCCCAAATGTTGTCCTTCAAAAGGGTTGGACATCATATTGTTGAATGTAACGTAGGACGAGTCAGGTTAGACTATGATGTGACTTCTACGTAAGATCTTATAAATTAGATAGTGGGATCATAGCAAATCTACAATTTCGAGATAGTAGTAAATGTACTAATATCGAATTGACACAGCTATTCTGCAAGGCATTTGAAATCAAACTCCAAAAATTACCTAACAGTTTGTAGCAGAACAAAGATAGGATAGATTAGCAGATGAAGCTCATACTAGTTGCTATTCTAGAGTGAAATATCATTATAGCCTTCATGTAGAAGAAAATAGTAACGAAGAACAATGAGTTGTAATATGTAACATGGTGGAATGGGTTCAAATGTTGAAATATAATTCTAAATTGGAGTAAGAAAGGATGTTTATCAAAATTCAAAGTGAATCGAAAGATGTTAGATTAATAATAAGCAGTAATACCTAGATACATCACGATACTTTAAAGAGGGTGATCCTCGGTCGGTGAAACCTAACCGACAAAGGTTGGACCAGCTTTTCCTCAATGTACAATCGCAACACGGCTCAGTGACAGAGATGTCGTTGCGTACGCAGAAGGTCATTGGTCAACGGACTATAGACAAAGGCACTCTTAGACAATTACTCATAAGTAAGTCTCACCCGACAGGCAGAAACACTTCTCGACTCATTTCAAAATGACGTTGCAAACAAACTGGCTGCATCTGGAGATCAGCAGAACCCCCTATTGCATCGAAGTTTGTTCTGTCAAAGGAAATCCCCAAACGACACAAAATAACATTGCGTATTTCTATGACACTCAGTAGTTGTCATAACACTGACCGTAGTCGTTGACCCTCTCGAACTCCTCGAGGAACATCATCACGATAGAGATGTGCCCCCAGACTACGAAATAAAAAACGCTCTTGATTGATGATAATACCACAACAAGTATGGTAGGTTTTCTAGAAATTGCAGGAGACCCTGCAGTTTTCCAAAACTCAAACCCTTCGGTACACAATAAAGGCGTTCGCAACCGGTGGACATAGCCGCCTGTTATACATCACTGATATGATGACAAAACTTCGCTGCCTTGTCGACACTGATTCAGAAGTAGGCGTCCTTCCCACGAATTCTAACGACTGTCTTCATGGACCGGTTTTAAAACTTAAATGGGGTGAATTAAAAAGTGGTTGCCATATCCGATAAGTGTTGTGTTTATCCTAACATGGATTTACGCAGACCCATTTACTGGATTTTCGTTGTTGCAGATGTTCTTATGCTATTGAATGATACAGACCTGTTTCAACACTGCGGTCTACTCACCAACCCCAGAAAACGGAGGTCCATAGAGGGAAATACTAAATTTTCTGCATCTGAAACTTCATCTTCTGGCTGTAGGTTAGGCCTAGTTCCCGTCAAACAAAAGATTGATCAACACTTCCAACAGACATTCCACACGTAGCCAGAAATTCACAAGACACTACCGGAACTGCTGTGTGCGACCTGCGATGTTACACACAGTGTCGTTACTAAAGGCCCACCTGTAGTGGCATTGGACAATAGCCACACAATCCACAAAGCTGTGAACACGAGACTACTCAGAAAATAGATATTCAATATTTAACGCGGAGAAATACCTAACAATGGAGAAGGCGCGAACAAGGAATTGAATGGACTGGAGTTGATCGAGTGGCATGGCTCGGCCATGCAGGCGTGGTCTCTATTCATATTAAATATATTGTTCCTTCTCTAACCTAACCTTGTTCTTCATCATGTATTGGTAATTGATACGATACAGTGAGTTGGCGTAGTCGATGGTGTGACTTCCACGTAAGATCTTATAGATTAGGCAGTTATATCATGACAAATCGACAAGTTTAGGATTAGGTCTATTATTAGAGCAGTACTAATATCATAGTAGACCATAATTCTACATTGGTGAGCCCAACTAAAGAAACGCAACCTATTATTATTAATCCTTATTTCCACTTCAACTTTCTCGATCGATTTTATATTTATGTTAACCCTGTATTCTAATAGTCCTCTGATTAATGCTCACATGCATCATTGTAATGTTATATTGATTAGTCCTCATGACAAACTAGCTCAATCGATAATAAAAACTGGTCGTCTATATTAACTAATTAGCTTTGATGATTTGTTAACAAGCTGTAATAGCATTTACATGCTTCAGCGACGTAGTCTTGTTTAAACATCAAGCTCTAGCAAATATGACCTGTAAATAGCGTAAATATACATTGACTAACAATGCGATCAAGGACTAAATAGTTATCTGGATCTAATTCTCAGTGTTCCTTCACTTAACACCTCATCCTGTTTTAAACGATGCACTATCCTGTAATATCTTTTCTTCCGACCACTGCCTGCCTAATTTCATATTCTCGAGTTCCATTGCCAAACAACGAGGATGACTACTCCAAAAACATACGGTGAGTTCCAGCTATAAGTTTTCTGCAATCATAAGTTCATTTTAGATGGGACACACAATTATCTGGATTCATTCAGTTGTTCTGATCAGAGCGAGTCCCAAAGACCTCAACAACATCAAGCACCCTGGAAGTGATTGCCATACTGTATGTTTTATTCTGGATGCTTTTGGATCATTACTACTCCTCACGAATGGCGTTATATATGTCGTCCACTGAATAATCTAATTTTCAAAAATAATCCAGGCGAGTTCAACTATTTTACTGGATGATTTTTTTTTACTTAACATGTATATGTTTTCCGGTTCCTTTTGCTATATATTTGTAAGTGTCCCTAGGCTAAATGCAGTAACTCCTTATGGAATGTTTATAACACATCATATTCCTGCCTGAAGTTTCATAAGCAGTCTAAACTTTGAAATTATTTTCTGGTCATGTTCATTATTTTTAAATCGTCATATACGTCAACAACCTGCATGTTAACCTGGCCCATACATACGTTACACTATATCTCCATGTCTTATAAATTTAGAAATCATCTGAATCGCCTTTAACATTTATCAATAAACCCATCATAGTCGTTGTTGCTAATCGTATTTGGGTTTATGGATTGGTTTATCATATTAGTAGCCTAAAATGCGAACATAGTTTAGATAATAAGATTAAAAATTTAGGTGCTATCAACTGCACTAGTGAAATAACTAAATCCCCAAGTAGCTGTTGGCTAAACAAACGTTTAAAATCAAAACTCCGTAGCCTACTAGAATTAACACTAAACGAATATTTCTGAATTAAAATTTATAATTAAATTAGGCGTCTCGGATTCTTTAACGTTATAAATATCTGATGATTTTGAATCACCTAAAGCAACAATACCTATTTTTCCACTGACTAATCCTTAATCAACACTATAACTAGTTAAATTTAATAGTTTCAGGATATCGTCATAAAGCATTGTCATAACTTGACAATCACG